CGTCTCGCAGAAACTCCGTTTGGCGTGAGAAATTTCACCACAACACCGACGCTGACGCACGGAGGCAAAAAGTGAGAAAGTAGCTTTTTGCAGGATTGATATGCTAAAGCGCTTCTCTACATATTTTGCATCAAAATATAATGATTTCTTGTGGAATAAATTAAGGTTTACATACGAAAAAAAGCTAAATATTCATATTGCTGATAGAATTTTCTCCAGTGCCATAAAGATTATTTTCAGCTAGATAAATTATGAATTCCATGAGCTTTTGCGAAACTACTAAAAACGCCGCTTTTGACTTCTGGAATTTCCGCTTCTCGTAGGGGGTGGTGCAGGAGCACGCGTGCGGTTTTAATTTCAAAGGCGAACGAAAGGAATTTTCGCCCGTCTTTGTTGACGCAGCTTCTCGACAAACGCAACCAAGCAAAAAATCTGAAAATTACCGCAGAATATGAAGCAAGCCGAGGCACCAGCGCGTTCGCAAATTGTTTGAGTTTGCGCTTATCAAGCCCCTTTCAGGCTTCAATACCGAGTGAGAGCCCGCATGATGCACAACATACTCTCGAGAGAAGGAAAACACTCGAAGATGCCTTCCGGCGGCCTAATTAATTTGTCTAATCCACGTCAACGCAAAGCGTGTGCGGTGCTTCAAGGATAAACAATTGAAATGGAATATCATTAAATTGCTCAGAATCACTTTTTAAAAATACATCATAAATGCTTAATGGTGACTTAACAAACAAAAATATTTTAATTAAAATGAACAAAACTGTCTGAAAATTGAATTATATTTTCAATTTATTATTATAATTTTTCATCTTATATTAATTTTTTTTCTTTTGTTTTATGATTTCAAAGACGCCAATAAGATTGATATTTTTACTGCCTACTAAGAAATAAATTTATTGAATGCTCTTAGCAAAATTATGATGAATAATCAAATATTAATAAACATCAATTTTTGTCAATGAAAAATAATGAATTAAATTGTAAAATATTTGTAAATAAATGTAAAGGGGATGGTCATTGGCCCTCTTTGGAGCAAAATTCTAATTTGTTAGTCAAATTTAAGTATTCATGGCAAATGCAAAAAAGCTCGGCTGGATAATGACGCAACAAAGTTTACGAATCCACAGGGAATCGCCTTTAAGGTCAGATAATGGACGCAAATCAGCTGCGTCTATTCATCATCCTGCAAACGTCTGAAGAACAGTAGAAAGGACTTTGGATTGGCAGGGATGGTCCTGTTTCCTGTTTCTATATTATCCGACAACAAAATTACGAAGATTGCGTTTGGCTCCTTCAATAAAAGGCAATTACTCGAGTCTTTGATGTCACTCAACAGCGTGGTGCTTCAGGTGCTTATTTTAATCATATTGAATGTCAGAATAATAAGATTATTGCTTTCTGAAAATATTTCACGTAAGTTTCTTTTGTTGCGAAAGCTGTTTTTTGCTTCGCTCTTATTTAGCGCAAAATCGTTTCATATTCAAAAATTGAGAAAACGAAGAAACCACCAAATCAATGCTCAAAGCAGTTTAATATCGAGAAAAATAGCTTTAAAATCATATGAAGCAGCAGCCTCAACACTAGATATTACTTGACGCAAGCTGAGTTTTTTTCCATCGCTCTTTTTTTTGCGCGGAATCGTCAAATATTCATAAATTGAGAAAACCGAGAAAACGACCAAATCGTTGCTCGAAGCACTTTAAAATCTAGAAAAATAGCTTAAGCATTACATGAAGCAACTGCCTCAACACTTGATTTTACTTGTTGCAAGCTGAATTTTTTGCTCCGCTCTTATTTAGCGCAAAATAATTTAATTTTTAAAAAATTAGATAACGGAGAAAACGACCAAATCGTTGCTCGAAGCACTTTAAAATCTATAAAATTATTGTCTTTTTCTTCTATTAACGTATTTTTCAGGTAAGAATTTTTAGCAAAGATTGTCCAGTAACATTGCTTTACTTAAATGTCAATAATAGCAGAAATATAAAATAATGATATTTTGCACTCTTGTTGAATAAGGAGAAGTTTCTGCACCTTATCCTTCTCACTCACTTCAGCAGCAAAATAACATCTCGCTTCCAGCTATATAGACTGTCTTTCTTTGCCAAACGGCATGGAAGAGACAACGCAAACATGGCCAAGATAGATTCGAGTTGAGAGCTGCAACTCTAGTTTTCTCTCCAACACACATTAATGATATGACACGTGAGTGGAGGGCTGCCGTGTGCCACGATAAATCTGGAAATAAAACTACGTGCCGTGGCTGGGAGAGCGTTGGCTATGTTTAATTCGCCGGCGTAAATTACACCGCAGAACAAATGAGCTCTGCGCATTGCAATGTAATTAGTTCTGCGCCAGCACGGTGCATAAATAATAACCGTGGAGTGGCATCTACTCCTGATTACACGTGCAGAGCGACTTAATTCCATTAACGGGTTATTATAAGCAATGGCGAAGGAAAGGAGTCGAAAATGAGCCGTTTATTTGCATCCGAAAGCAGGCAGAACGCCTGGCAAATTGAGTGGGTATGCAACGTGCAGAACGAGTAGAACGTGCCGGTTGCATAAGCGCCCATTTACTCTGACGTCAAGTGGTGTTTCGGTGTGGTTTCGCTGGCAGCATGATGTGTGCCAGTTGGGCGGCTTTTGCATTTTGTGACCTACTATATAGTTAATTTCAGGAAGTTTGAAGAGAAAATGGTTAACAGGAAACCTAATGCCAGAACTTTGTAAAAAATTTATTTTGAAATTCTACAAGAATTTCTGTTTATGCAACAGGACAAATAAACAAGAATATAGTAATTGTTATTAAGAATTATAAAAAAACAGTATATTTGCAACTATAAACAAGACAGACGATGAGAGAAGAATTTATTTCAAATGTATCGCGCGGTTTTTTTAACAATTTTTTTAATCAGAAAATTAATTTGTATAAAACTAATATCAATACCAATAAGTCCAATTTCTGCATTGACTTATTCTTACTTTAAAGATTTCACAATTTAAAAAGACTAATTTTTCCAATGTGATGTAAATTACGGCAATGATTTTTACGGACAATTTTCAGGCTTCTAATTTATTTTCTGGACCATCTATCATGTTTATCAGTACTTGACACGAATATTTTAAATTGAATATTGCTGCATTATTAAATTAGAAACGCCAAACAAATAATATAAAAAAAAATGCTATTAATCATTTATCTCTGAAGTTTTAGCAAAATGTATTGCCGTATGTAGTGAAGGTGCCGTTTTGTCCAACAATTCATTTTTCTTCAACAAATTGTTTTCGAAAAATGTAATGTTAACAATGTGATGCAACAACTGGGTAATTAAACAACAAGAATAATAATAAAGTAATTAAAGCGCATGTAATTCTCTTAATTTTAATGATAAATAAGGTACAAAATATTTCCTAATAAAAAATCTGTTAAAATATATTGAAATTATAAGACACCCAAAATTTTCAATTAATAAAGATATTGCGGCCTAAATAATTGCATTTTGAATTGAATTGACTTTTATTTGTTAGAAAGAGATTTCTCAAAGTATATTCATTTCTTTTTCATTTTCCAGAGATTTTGATTTTGATTTTTACTTCAATTCAAAAGTAATTAGTATAGTATGGAGAATAAATAATTATATATATAATTAGATAAAATTCCACGTATCAAGCGTATCAAGTATCAAACAATTCATTGTTGTATTATTTTTCAAACTGTGCCACTATCCAACTAGACGCCTCTACTTTTAAATCACTCGCCTAGTTCCAGAGTAGAGACTGACACAGTTCAGAGTGTAAATGATGTGCTTGGCAGCAAAAGGGCGAAAAAAAGCCACCGCATTTTATATTTGTCAGGCTGGGCGTTGGCTACACTTTTTGCCGTTCACTAGTTTGCTCAATAATTCAGGACATTGCGCCCCGGCAGGCACATTTGCAGCAAACGAGAGAGACTGCGAAACAAATGAAAACGCGGCGGCGGCGGCGACTGCGGCGTGATGATGACGCCGCGCGCGTTATTGCAACACAGACTCAATTTCCAGTGTTGGGGCACAATTGCGCGCGCCAGAGCGGTTCTATTGCCCGCCGCCGCCGCACCCTTCGTCATAATAAAGAGGTTGAAACTTTTTAAATGAGCCAGACATGATGGGTGTGAAAAGTTTCTCTCTCTCGCGCGCGCTTATTTTCGCTTATAAACCTTTTTGTGGGATATCTTGGGGCTATTATATTCATCTGTTCACCTTTGTGCTTGAATTACACCCGCGAGATCTGTGCACGCCACATTATTGCCTCACCGCCCCAGCTGGCAAATTATTTCTGCAAGAGCTCACTAACTACGTCAGCACGAACTGCCCGGACGTGTGATTAAAAATTAATTTCGTGCCTCAATTCAACCGTGCGCGATTCGTCCATCGATATTGCCAACAGTTGCAGAGTTTTTAAACTGGGTCGATCATTCCATACTTGCGCTCGACTGGATTTAGTCAGCATTTTTTTTTGTACTCTACGCGGATTATCTTTTCTACGTAGACAGATGGGTGGGTTTAAATTAAGCTCTTATCGGAAGTTACAGACTTATATAGAATTCAATCAATCTCTTTGCTTCAATCAGAAATTGAAGTAGATTTAAGCTTCAAAATTAGTAGGTCAATCAAAAAATTAAGCGGCTCAATCTCCACCGTGAATCGCAGAATCAGCTCGATTTATACTGTGAAGTTAAAAATCAATTGAAATTACTTCTTTCCATCCAATAATATAAAAGATACGGAAAATTATCTGATTTTTTTATCAGATTTAAAATTACCTTCCCATTTGGGAGTTTGATCATTTTCATCTTTGAGCATAAAGCGACGACTTTTAGTATATTTTTATTATTATTCTTGCTTGATTTAGTATTAGATGTTATTTATATGTAGCAAAAAAATCATCGCTTTCCCGAAAAAAAAATAGCAAGCAAACAAATATTGTATTTAAGACAAAAATTCTTCTTACCTGTATAGCGGAATCCCAGTACTGTCCTTGAACCAAAGCACCATGTTGACTTTGTCCCCTAAAATTGGGGCTGTGATGTCGCATGGCAACTCAGCGTCTTGGCCTTGAACTGCCCAAATGACTTCTGGAGCCGGAACTGCAACATACATCAAAAGTAATTAATTGTAGCATAAAGTAAAAATACAATAGTTCAAAATTGCAATTTGAATTAAGATATTAATATTAATTAAACGAATAATTTTTTGGGGGGTTAACCTTAATAGACGCGACTTATTTTAATTTTCTATTAATAATGTAGCTAGCGATGGCTTTGGTCCACCTATATTAAAAAAATCTAGTTTTGATTATATGAATGTTACAAATAACACACAATTATTAATATGTTCAAAAGAAAAGAAATATTTTTATTGCATAATAAAATATTAATGGAAAATTTCTTATTCTCTAAAACTCTTATTGAATAAATTGTATAATAGGAATGTAAAATTTGGGAAATATAAGTTATTTTAAGAAGCCAAAAACAACGTCGCAATTATTATTTTGATCCGTTGAGACGGTAATTAGATCTGGCTCCTGCATCATTGTTATCCGACTGTGTAATCTCGCCGCTTGTTATAAAGGCCTGCCTGCCTGTCTTTCTTTCACCTTATTCAGTTTTAGATCACCTGCCTGCACCCGTTCGTGACTTCATGACTGCGAAATAACAAAGGATGACGTCGTGTCACAGGAAATTCGTGCTTGTAATCCCCGACACTTCTGTCTGCTTGATCCCCAGCAAAGACTGTCACTCATTTCCCCAGCGGGCGCTTTTGTAGGTTCATCCACTCGAAAGCACACTTTGAGAGCCGAAAAACGCTAATTTATACCCGAGAGAGAGCGAGCGAAAGAGCTCACATTATTATTTCCTGTCGTTCGCCTTAAACAGCATGGAAATTGAGTCGTGTGCGCGCGCGAGCACCCCGTGCAGAGAGGCTAATTAATTGCTTGTCACGAATGGCCTGGCGCTCTCTCGGTGCTGCGAGATAACAGACTCGCGCGCTGCTTTTACTCCTAAGTGCTCCGTGGCAGATGTACAAATTTATTTCACGTTTAATAAATAATTGAGCGGAGAGAAGTGCGAGCACGAGAGGAACTCCCGAGAGGTCTCTGCGTAAACGATACACCGACGGTGAGAATCTCGGCATCTGCGTGCGGATATTTTACATTCAAGCGCCTTACTCGCCCCGGCAACCGACCAACCAAGCCCTCTCTATGCAACAATTTTATATTTCTCGTGCAAACTAAACAGCATTGAAGGATTTAAGCGCGCTTTCTCTCTCACTGTGGAGACTCCTTTGGGACTTTTGGTGGCAGACCTGACGAGTTTTGCTCCTTCTCGCGGATGAAGTTTGAGAAGGAAATAAACTCGCAACTCCCCAAAGGCCCTTTCATTTCATCACTGGTCCCTCCTTATTATGCGAGATAAATGAGATATACATCATGTGATGCCAGCGAGAAGTTGTTCTCCAAAAGTGGCAGATTTTATTTTAGCCCCGAATGCTATGCGAGAAGGCGCTTTCAATCTTGCAGCCATCAATCAATTTATTGATTTTATAACAAATCTTAATTCAAGTAACTTCGTCAACTAGGTTAAAGAGCTTGTTTTGCTCATGAAATAAAAAACAGCATTTTATAAATTTTAATTTCAAGAAAAATTTACCTCGCTTGTATTTTTTTTTTAAATAATATTAAAATTAATTTTTTTTTATTAACATCAATAAATAAAAATAACTGTCCCGTCTCATTTTCCAAGATAAAGAAAGACTCATTTTGGCAACAAATTGCCTCAGTCACAAGCAAATTTACTTCTCGATCATGTATCATTAATTGGCCGAGGTAACCGGCATGCTGCTTTCAATAATTACAGTAAATATTAGTTTTTTTTCTTTGAGCTCAATAAAGGAACATTCCAAACACTAAAAAAAATTATGTGATCTGCTTCATTCAACATATAATATTTTCTCTTACCATCTTCACATTTATTTTTTTAGGCTATTTTTAAAATGAAAAATTCACGTAATTAAAAATAAAATCGGAGTGACATAATTATGTGCTTAAAACTTGAGTCATAGCAGCTGTTGCAACTGCGTAATTATTGTTATTAAATAAATATTTTCATATTAAATAGAGAAAATACAAAAATTAAACATTTAAAAGTGTAAATAAAATATGTGTAATGTAATTCCTTTCAATCACTTACAGCAGAGAGTATCACAATGTACCACTTAGAGAAACAAACAAAAAAATTTACCTCCATAAAAATTTAATTCATAGTTTAAATTATTGATTTTTTTTTAAAGTTGGCTTGTCTCGGCAAAATTCTAAATTTGTATTTAATTATAATAGATTGATCTAATAATCAATATATAAATTTCTCTCAAATTATAATAGCAAGTTACAATTTCTTTAAATATTGAATTTTCTCAAATTTGGTGAAAAAATATTTTAATTTAAGTGATGGCACTCCTCTTTTTCGCTGACAGCCATTGATCTCCCCCATTATTACACAATTGAGGTCCATCCATTATAACCTCTCCGGCCCCAAAACACCAGCAACTGATAAACTGTGGCGATAAATCGCGCGGTGCTCGCACCTTCAGCAGCCGATTCGGCCACAAAACGCGCCCTGGGGGAAGTATAAATTGCGCCACCCTACCTGCTCTTTATCAGCCAGCTCGGCGTGCAGCATTAATTTCCAATTACGCGGAGATTCGTTTTATATTTGACAAAATCCGCGTTTCCCGCGCCAGGCTCAAGTTTTGATTAAACTCCCCTTTCGTCCCTGCGCGAAATAAGCAGGCTGTACTTTGGCCTACTACTTAAGGAGCCACTCGTCAGTCATTCCGCCTTCCAACTTGCTAATTATACACTCACTCAGCGGCAGCCCGAGCTGCTGCTGGCTAAGTTGCTTTTGATTATACCGCTGGAGAGGTGCGCCTGCGAGCCTCGATTTTCACGAATATTGGTAAATAATGGAATTGCAAGCGTGTCTCTCTCTGCCGTATGAATTATTTTGCTCCCTTTGTTCCACCGAGGGAAGACACTTCGCCAACTAACAGCAGAATACTTCGTCTTTGCTGTCAAGATACATCATATCTTGGGAATTTGATGAGGAATTCGTTACGCAAACCCGGGTTGCCGACAACTGAAAGCGAAAGCGAGTTCAAACGACTGAACTGACACGGAGCATTCTGACGTTTGCGGTGGGATCGTGAATGGAGCCCTTGCTTGAGCAACAATTTAATGCTAATATAATATACTAATGTGCTTCAAGTTCAAGCAAGCTTAGAAATTGCAGGCTCGAAAGGAGTGATTTATGGAGCGTGCAAGTACGTTCGCCTCTTATGAACATGAATTCTCCTGTACCAACTTGTTCACGCCAGCTCATTTTTCTCGTAAATGTTAATTTTGGATCTATTGCCATCATGAAATCAAAGCTTTGTGCAAAATATTGATACGAATTTAAATATTGATTTTCTAAAGATAATTAAGCTTTTTTTGTTACAAATTAGCCAAGTTGATAACAGTAATATTTACGAGACTTCCTTAATTTCCTACAAGATCAGAATTTTTATTTATTGGATAATTTGAGCTTTATTAATAGTTCTTAATAATTTTCAATGTTAAAATAAATACCATTACGGCCCCGTTATTCTTGATAAATTAGTGATCAAAATGTTTTGACAGCAGAGAAAATTATATTTTATTTTTCAAATCTAAAATTCACTTTCAAACCTCCATGTTCTTCAATCTAAAAAAGAATTGATTAACTTGTAACGAGAAAAGTTCAGAAGTCGGTATTTATTTTCAAGCATGAGTTAAAAGTGGCTGTAAACATGTGAATACTTTTTCACCAAGTCTACAAGCCAACTTTCCGCCCAATAAACAGTACAAATCTAACATCTATATATCCAATTTCCTGCCGCACCATGCATATTTTTACCAAAACACATTTCCTTCTCACTCTCGTTTTTCCGTAACTCTTTTATTTTCCAGAAACAACAACGGAACACGTCGCAGCAGGAGCCACTGCAAAAAAATCGGCTTTTCCGGAATTGCCTTTCGAGCCGACGAGAGCGTGCCTACATAAATAATCACACGTCGTTATTGCGCTTCGTGCACTCGAGGCATGAGCACATATTATACACACACAGGCGTGCTGCAATAATAATATTGCTGAGCCAAGAGAGGCTCTCGCGAATATTGGAGCGAGCCGGCGTATCACGACAGGTGATTTGTAGCGCCATTTGCAGGGCGCTCGCGAGAGCTCCACTCGAACATAGCCGACCGGCGGAATAAATAAATGCTTCGGTTCTGGGGCGGGAGATGAACTCATGCACGAACCTGGGGGGTACCTTTAGACGCGTGTTCATTATTACGCCTACGGTGGAGAGAGAGAACAGCTTTTGCGTGGCACGTGGCCCATAAAAGCCGCTTTACGGCTCGCACGTCACTCAAATTCGCCTTTTCAATAAGCCGTGTATATTATAATGCCAAGGTACACTCGCCGGTGCGGCTAATCCTCGTCAATGAACCGGCAACCGCTCTCGGAACAAAGACGGACGGATTTGCGAGAGCGATTCGCCGCCGCGGTTTCGCCGGCAAACGCACGGGAGACAATGGACGCTAATCACCGTATTAAGTAAGATGTTGTGCACACCCAATAAACTGAGGCAGAGGCACCAAGTGGTTTAGAAACGGGTTAAATTGATGGATATTGCTGGGGATTTTAGGAGGCAAACAATCAGACGTTTTAATGAGCTGCTCGAAGAGGAAAATAATTATGCAGAATTGAAGGCCGAGAGAACAAAATTAAAAATCATTAAAAATTTCATCGGATGGACTCCAAGTGTTTAAATTTTTATCATATTCAATTGCAAGGCTTTTCATTTAGTGTTTGATTGAAGTCGAGCAATTATTATTTTTTTTTTAATAATAGGCACGAGTGTGCATGATCTTGTATTTCGAGCTTGCCGTGACCGCTAAAAAATCAGATTTTGTTAAAAACTTTATCTGGCATAGTGAATTTTTTTTTAAAATAATATAAAATGTATCAAATTTAGTAAAAGTCATTAAAGAGGCATTTTTAAGCTAAAAACTTTCATGAAATTCCTAAATAAATTTTTAAATCTAGGTTATATTATTTCTACAGTATGAAATATCATGTAGGTAAAAATGAATATTTGGAAGTTCACAACGGCATTAATTTTCAATGTAGTCGCAGTCCCTAAATTCTTTAGAGTATGTAAATAAAAAATTGTCTGGCAACAAAATAAAATTGTAAACATTTAAAATATTGTTAAGATGACGGCACTAAAGCCAACATGCAAGTTAAACATGCTTTTTTCTCTTCAAGAATTTGTGTTTTTATTCCTTAAAGCTTATATAAGATTTAAATTCAATTGCTTAAAAAGGCTTCTTGAATTTAGCTGTTTATTTAGTATTATTTTTTCTTCTTAATGAAATAGGTTTGCAGACCATGACCAAAACTGTTAGAGTCGTTTAGTTTTTAGAAAAAAAAAAATTATTTTAAATGAAGAAAATGAACAGATTTCTTAATGTTCACTAATTTTAGATTCTTATTCTTTTAGTTTATTGGAATTATATTTTATTTGCATATCATGAAAATTGAATTATAAATTAATCCAATTTGCATTGATTAAAATCAAAATTTGGTTTATAAACATTTTCAGCCACGAGCATACAACTCCAAACAGTATTGAAGTCAATTTTCATTCAAAAGCTCTCTCACAGTCAACTCGGCAACAACAAAAAGTGAAAAAAACTTCTCTCCTTTTTGTTACAGTCGTTTCGTGACGATAAATTTTGCCTTTCTCCGTCGCGAAAGAGAGTGCAAAAACGCAAGCTGTCGGCACGGAGTGCGAAACACGGCTGAAGCAACTCGGTCGCGGATGTTGCTCGAGAGCTAATTTCATTAGACAGCCATATTTTCTGCTTTGGAGCGCAAAATGTACATCGTGAGCGCGTAAAATACAATATTTATATGTACGTGAGCAGCAAAAGGCTGTGCGCGCCGCTGATATAATTTCCCGCACCCAAATTCTCGGCGCACCACACTTGGACGACCTTCCTAGAGAGAGCATTTATTTTTATACCCTCTCGCAGCTAAAACGGGTCGCGCGCTCGTCATCTGTCACCCGCCGCCCTCTGCAACGTGTCCAGCGGCCGTTCCAATTCTGAACGTTTGCTTTGGCTCCCTCGTTTTACTTTTGCTGGAGTCGGTCGGCCTAGAGAAATACAAAAATTTGTATTCGCGAGAGGCTCCGATTGGAAAGAGCACCTTGGGAATGAAACAGAATTTTCACCCAAAAAATTTGGCAGGTCGCTCTCGTCGATAAATCTCCAGAATGATTTATTTTCTTCCGGCGCGGCTGCTGTTTGTTCCTTTATGCACACACGGCTTGTGCAGTCAGTTTACGGCAAAGCTGCGTTCCGGGGTTTGAACTTTGCACGTCTTTTGAAGTGTCACATGCCGGATATTTTTTTTAATAATATGCGAAATAAACAAAATGAATCATAGAAAGTAGTATATTGGTCAGGCTCACTTAAAACACCCCAGCAGGACACGAGTTAAAATTAAATTGGAAGATTTTTAATATCAAGCTTAATTTGGCAATTTTTTACAATAATTATTAAACTTAATCTTTGCATTTGTGCCAATATCAAATTTATGATTGCGAGAGGCTGTTAATAAGTTGAAATTTGTAGATTTAATTAATTAAAATAGATTTTAAACTAAATTTAAAATATGTGACCAGATACTTGTGATATAGAAATCTGTTAAATGCAAGTAAAATTTTAGCAAATAATTCATTTTGACAAATGACTTTTTTTTTTTTAAATTTTAATAAATAATAAGTGCTTTTGCCAGGGTTAGCTGACACCTTTGCTAGGTGTGAAACATTAATTCCAACTTTTCAGTGGCACTTTTTGCCACTCCTTGGTTTCGTCGCGCTCGGCGAACTTGTAAAAAATAAATAAGAGCGGCGAACTTCGGACGACGGCACGCGGCAGTTCTTCCTTCCGCTTCCACGAATCCCGAGCTCGTTTATCAAGAGATAATCGCGCCCCCTGTTACACTCTTAAGCACACCGGCCAACTTTGATGAGCCCAAATCAAATAAAACGGGCCGAGCGTGAAGCACGAGTGCGTGATTTTGCAAATGTTTTTTTATCGGATTAATCGAAGAGCAACTCGGCGTTGAAAAGAAAAGAGCTCGAGTGGCGCTCCTTCGAATTCCTCGCGTGTCTCCAGACTATTTCTGTGGCTGCCTTATACATACCATCAATCTCGGCGTCCTCTCTCCCGTGGAAATAAATCAGAAGGCGGTGTGCCGGCGTGAAGATGGCACCTTCGCTCTTCCTCTGATTGCCTCTGATGGCGGTTAACGCGCCTCTGTGAACATTATTCGCCACCCACGCGCGACACGCACACGCGAGAGTGAGGAAATTTGCTTTTCCAAGCGGATTCGACGCCTGCAGATGTTTGTTTCCTGCGGGATTTGACGCCACCGCAGATTACTACAAAGCGCCTCAAGCTGCTGTTACCAATTACATAGAATATTATGGATTTGAGAATCTGAATATCCAAAATTGAACACTCGAATGAGCAAAATTTCCCCTGCCTATGTGTGACTCTCAAATATTTTAAGGACTCCTTAAAGTCAAATCAAGTCTTTACCAACAATGATTAAATTTCCAATTATTAATTACTGCGAAAATTGCTTATTGATTTATTTAACATAATCAAATATATGCACGTGAGTAAAAACTTTCTTCCTAAATATTTAATGACATATTCAATATTAATTTGAAATGAATAAAGGAATCAATAAATTTAACCTGCGGCAAAACTTGAGATTTGTGATGGATACAAAAACTAAGTCAATTGAAGTGGAGTTTTTCTAAGAAAGAGTTTTTTTGCATCTCTAGTGTTTTTAATATTGATTATTTTACCATTTATCATTACACGCGCATTCATTTAAATTTGGCATTATTTTTTTTATCAAAATATAAATTTTTATTGATTCTTAGTATATTTTAAATGATATTCAATACAAAAAAATTCACATGTAGAAATCTATCTTTCATCATCAGTAAATAATTTACAATTATTTTTATGACCTTTAATTACCATTTTGCAATACGAACGAGCAACACCACTATATACTTGCTCTCTCACAACGGAGATTTATGAACCGGCGCAGGAAATCTGGAAAAGCACTCTGTCAATGCAAACTTTTTTTCCGAAAAAAACATCCACACATTTATTACATTCCCCCAGGCAGAAATCGCGACCGAAAACGCACGCGGCGCAAACAGTGAGCACATAGAGAGAGAGAGAATGGATGTTTACAAGAGCCCTAAAGAGAGAGAGAGAGCGTGCGGATCATAAATATTAGATTTGTTATTTGCGGTAGATGTAAAATATGTCCCCGGGCGCATCCTATCCTCCGTGTCAATGCACCATTCACTGCCAAGATTTATTATAATGGTTTGATCCAGCCGTGGCGGAAACATTTTTTTCCAGATATTCATGCAAATCGGAACGGCGGCAGTGGTGAAAAAAAAATGGCATTCCATGTGCATTCTCCACTGGAGCAAATAAAAAAAGTGGTTTTGCTCGCATTGTTGCTGCCGAGAGACACATAACTTTGTGGGGCGTGATATAAATTAAGTGGGAATTTACTACCTACGCCTGTCGGCTAGCAGGCGGAGTGGAAAAGAGTGCGCGAGTTACATGCTTTGTTGCACTTAAAATGTGATTTATAAATTGCTGCACAACAACAACCGCCCCCGACCAACAAAGAATTTATTTTCTCCTTCTCTTCAGAAGACAAAAAATATTTCCAAACCTCAGTTTTCCTGGACCAATTTTTAAGTTCTAAATTTTATCTCCGTATAAATTTTTGTCAATATTACTGGAGTTATTCTGTTATTTTATATCAATTGAAAATCCCAGACACCCAATTTTGCCAATTATCTTTCTTTATTTGGGATTTTTACAAATTTTGTTTAATGAAATCCTGATGCTTGTTGCTGCCATACAAACTATGGGACAGACGAATCTGTCTTCTTTTTTGCCACTCTGCGATTTTTCTTAGAATCGGAAATATTAGATGACCCCTTTGAGTCGGATTGGGATGATTTTTTCAAGCTGGGATTCTTCGGTGCAGCTTTGTTCAACCCGGCTGGGGTATTTTCATCCACTCTAATTTTGCTACCAGCATCAACTGCCTTGTTAACCTGAGACAGTTCTTTAACAGGAACTGCTGAACCTCCCTTCAAATTTGAGTCTCCGGCCCTGTCCTTTGATGGCGAACCTAGTTTCATGACTTTTTCTTTCAAAGCTTTATTGCCGATGCTCTTCATAGCAAGTTCTCTCATATAACCTCCCAGTGGTGCAGACTGGTCACTTGTCTCAGGAGGACTCCAGTTCTCGGGCATAACCACCACCATCGACTTGTCTTTACCTGAAGAAACTGGAGAATTCGCCACTTTTTGCAAAAGCTCTATGGGTGAACCTGGGTTATAGCCGGAAATTTCACCGTTTGATTGTTGCTCAGCGGAAGGAGAAAAATTAGAAGCAACCGTCGGATCGCCTGGCTTTTGCTCAGTTGTTCCTCGTGACGCTGAATCTGCCATTTTTTGTTTCCATTTTGATAAAGCGCTGTCTAAAGCGGCTCTGCTCTTTTCTGAACCAAATTTCCTTGCAGCTGCGAATACTGAAGGATCTGGTAATTGACCCATTGCCACTCTCCGTAACATAGATGCTGGATTTGGCAATGAATCAGATTCAATTGCCGGCGAGTCACCTGAACCTCCAATACTGCCAGGTCCACCCTGAATCTGTTTAGGATCAGCAGTTTGATCAGCTTCATTTAAAGGCCCTGCAGGGTTCTTTTCGCCGTTTGGTATTGGCTCATTGGAAGCAACGGCTGGATTGTCTCGCATGTTTTCAACATTACGTCGTAACTCTGCAATCGGTTTCATCATTTTGCCAAATTCACCTTCTTTTTTTTGTTTCCATACCAAAATGGCGCTGTCTAAAGCGGATTTATCTTGTTCTGAACCAGATTTCCTTGCAGCTATCAATTCTGAAGGATATGGAAATTTACCGGAACCCAACTGCTTCAACAATTTTGCTGGCAATGAACCAGATTCCATTAACACCGGTGAGTCTGCCTTATCCAAATTTCCAATTGGATTCGGATCATCAGTTTCAGGGGTCTTATCTTTCATAGCTGTGACGTCACCTTTGCTCGCAACAACTTTTCTACGAATTGATTCTGCCAACGCTTTAAAATTTGGTGACTGTGGAGTCAAATTTGGTGACTCTGGAGTGACTTCTTGACCGAGTGGAGCAGCATGTGCTTCAAAAGCCACTGCCAAACAGGCGACAACGCTTATGAAAAAAACCTGTCGGAATTTAAATGACTTTATCAATCAAATGCTACGCTTTTTTACCATAAAGATGAATATATTGAAAAGGCTTTATACGTAAATTTTTCTCATGGAGTTTTTTCTTGTTTTAATATAAATATATAATTATGTAAAATCAACCTACTTTACACATGGTCCTCATTCGTTCGCAGTAGAACCCAAACTCCACAAATATACCAGCGGCCCCTTCATTTCCATGCGTCACTCTTCCTGTGTTGTGCGGCACATAATATTATGTCCTTGCAAAACCATAATATTGTAAAATTTACAATTTGATCCGAGGCACCATCATTTTTATTTTCTAATAATGCCAACAAAATGGAAAATTTTGGTCGACAGTACAGGAACTAGAATATGCGTAGCCTTCAACGTCCACAACATCCGTTCGGTCGATTTTTGTTCTAGCGAAAAGTTATTTATTCTAGTCATAAAAAAATCTAAAAAATTATAGAAAAACAAGAATGAAATAAATATAAAAATATTATATTATAAATAAAATGCAAGTAGAAAATTGAAATTCAACAAAAATTAGTATAATTCTTTTGTCTTTTTATTTAAAAAATAGAGATTAGAGATTAAATTGGAGATCGCAATAAAAAAAACACTGCTAATTTTTCTTCGCTTATGTAAACACAAAAACATTTTATACACTACATAGATTTAATATTTCTTCCAGTTTTATCAATGTTTTCTGGTGAAAAAAAAAAAATGAAAAATCTTTTAATTATTTTGTCAAGCTTTAAACTTATTTTATTTTTTAGTATCTCACTGTAAAATAATATTTTTTTTTAATATCTTTAATGTTGAAACGTTTTAATGTGTACAATTTTTTTCATGGGGCTTAAATTTAAGTAACTAAAGTAAATTACAATTTAAGTAAAATAAATCAATCCCGAATAATTTTTCTAAAGATGTTGGACCGTTTTTTCTCATAAACGATGTTTTAAAATTTAAGTCTAAAAAAATAACCAAAATTTTTAGGAAGCCGTTTTTGACGCAGTTTTTTTAACGAGAAGATTCGCAATTGTGAGAGAGAAATTGAATATTGCAATTTTCGCCGCTCCTTCCTCTTGCCAGCGACGTGCATAGAAATTACACGAAGCAGTCTTTGGAAACAAGGACGCCGAGCCAGGAAGTAATAAGCGTGTCTGATAATATGCTGAGCAGGCCATTTGAATGCAGCTTGCAGCTATTCAAGTTTATGACGAACCGCTCTGCAGGTGTGCCTTCAGCTAGAAATAAACATTGCTGAGATATTTAATGAATTTTTCGTCCTTCATAAATTGTAAATTATTTCAACTTTTCATGAGATGGATTTAGCATTCGGCCAGCATTGTCCAGAAAAAATATCAAAATCAAATCAGATAAAAGATTTCAGGTCTTTTTTATACTGACAATGAGAAATGGTCATAACTTTAAAGAATATATATAAAAATAATACCAAAATAATGTATAAAATAAGAAATAAAAAAAATTAATATTTTTCTCGGCGTTTCCCGTGTTCAGGTTAAGGTAAAATCTTTGAAAAGAATACAGAAAGCCAGATGTAGAGCTAAATTGAAGAATTAGAGTCCTTTGATAAAAAGAAGCTGCTGCTGAATGGGCGTGCGTAACATTGCCGAGTGGATTACATTTAATTAAAGCGAGGAAATATGTACGTCAGCGATTTATATATGTATGTACACGTCCGTACTATGTGTAGGCGACGTTCAAGGGTGAGAGAGCTACTGTGGGGAAGAAGAATTTGCAAAAGGAGCTCTCGCGAAAAGGAGAAGAATAATAAAGCTGGCAGCGCGGGGCTAATCTTTTTAAGCGGGCCAAGGGATAAAATATGGAGAGGAGTGCGCCGCTATCTCTCTCTGATGTTAATTCGGGCCCCCTAATTCAGGCTACCTCATTAATTTCATTCCGAGAGGAACCCGACATAATACGCTCTTGATTAGACTGCCCTCGTCGGCTATTAGATTTCGCTTTTCAGCAGAATAACAAGAAGTCCGATTTGTGCACACTCGGAAAAATTAGTATTCGCTGAATATGACCTTCGTGATTGGAAAGTTTCGTTCTTCATTAGCCCGGCATTGAATAAGTCCACGGAGGCCGTCCTTTTAAATAAGATAAGCAAAGTACGACGACTTAAGTGAGTCGAGAATTTGCCTTTTGGGCAAACGAAAAGTTTTCAGGGCCTGCTGTGCGACGGCTAATTAATCAAATTACGACGAGCGCTTTTATTCACTATTAAGTTAATTTGTCGGGAATTTCTTGATTAATGAAGATTTTATTATTTTAAAAGGGAAAATAAATTGATTAAAAGTGCGTTGCAAACCACGGAATGCATAATCAAAGAGCAATAAAGAAGCTAACTTTATTACATGAGAGATGAGAGCCTTAAATATTTTCTGAAGAACTCACAACTTCCTGCAACTTCCATGAAAAGAAAATTCTCATTTAATTGAGTTATACATATTTCTGATTATTAATTTTTTTTATCTATACTATTTTATTTCAAATCATCTGTTCATAAATATATCATATTTAATAACAAATTATAAAAGGGTAAATAAGTGCAATATTTTTTCATTTATTCCTTTAACCTTTATTTTCGATTTAATCAAACGAACTAAACCGCAAAATGAATTGTGAAGAAAGTTGATGGAAAATAGTTTAGCGTCTTCCTTAAAAACATACTTTTATCTGTCGTATATACTAATGATTCTTTTCTATGCATGCTTCTTTTTATACTTAATTTATAATTTATTTTGCGTGCTCCTTAAACCTATTGCACAATTAGCTGCAGTGATTTGTAATTTAATTTTGATGTTGATGAACTTAAATTCTGAAAAAAATCGTGCGAAAAGAAATAACAAAGATCCGCATATTATTTTATATAATTATCTTGATAATTTGCATACGCGCAAGTACTCTCAAAGTGAACTTTTGTAAAAAAAAAGACATTTTGCGAAGCTTCACCGAGTGACACCCATTTTCAAAGAGGCTGCACATAAAATATTCATTCGGCTCGAGGCTGCGGCCGCGATTAGCATTTTTCCTTCGAAGGAAAAGCAAAATCTGTTGGAAAAACATCAAATTCGAGCAAAGCGAAACGATGGTATCAGAGAGATTGTTTCCTCAGAGAGGAAAAACGAAGAAGGCTTGTTAAACCAACAAACATCAAAGTCAGTCATGCGAGCAAGGCATTGTGTCGGTGCGCAAATGTATGCACGCTCGGCGCCCAGAGCGCGCACCCTTTCCTTTTGGCGTAATTGAATTTTGTCATCACAAAGGAGAAAGAAAGATAGCGAGAGAAGGAGAGAAAAAAACGAGGAATTAAATTGACTTTATCCGCCGCTATGATGCCGAGCCGGTTGCATATGTGCTTTCATCTCTCCTCATTCAACTTTGCTGGGCTCAGAATTTTGTGTTCCTTTCCGGCGTGTCGCGCCACCTAGGCTGCTTTTAGCTCCGAGCAACGCCAAATGCGATTTGGATCAGCCCCTTTGATTGCGCACCTGTGAAATCTGTCGACCTGACAGCCGATGCTGCTCCTCAACTATGAAGTCTGACTTGATTTGCCATCAGCATCATATCGCTAATAGCAAAATATCACCAATAATGGCTCCACGTGATATTTTTTTTAATGACGGCGTTTTCCTGCACGTTATTCATTCTCTAATCTCTATACATAATTGTTTGATAATAAGCAGAAAAAATTAAATGCGAATTAAATGTTAGAAATTTATAACAAGTCTGAAGATGTATTTGCATAATTTAGCTTATAATATAACTTATCTCTCTATAAAATACATTGCAATAAACTTCAAACAAACTCCCCCAGAGCCAGAAATTAAGTTTGGGATATTTTCTTGTAATCTCGTCGTCCTTATAAATATTGAAAATTCCAGACTTTTTCCAAGAAATGTCGAAAGAAAAAAAATATCTAGAAATCAAAACCACATTGAAAAAATAATAAATTTATATAATACAACAAATTATTCTAAATATGCAGCATAATAATTACATTATTATAACAATATATTATCATAGAGTTCAAGGAGCAAGAAATTTGCATATTTAACAGTTATTACGATACTTTCCACCGGGATATTTTATTTTCATGAATGAAAGTAAAGAAGGAGGACATTATCTGTAAGGCGGAAAAATGTATTCGGACAATGTATTGAAAAAATAATGCTCCTCTAAGAAATAAAGTTGATCGTCGACCCCAAAAAGCCTCAGCTAGCAAGTTGATAAAACGTTTTGTTTTATTAATTGCCTCATGTGTAGTTTTCAATTTTTTTTCCCACTTTCTCGGTGGCTTTCTGCTTTTACCCCCCGAGCACTGGAAACGACAAAATTTAATCAGCACCGCCTCTGACGTCAATATGAAAATAAAGCGCGCACTCACTTACCCGGCACGAGTATCAAAATGGAAAAAAATTAAATTGCGCCCATCCACAGAGACCACAGAGGGTTGATTTGAATTTAAAGTCGGCTTTTCCTCGATGGGTTTTGTTTATTGTTTATTGTTTAAGAAAAAACAATATCCTAGCCCGCAGCCGAAACATGGAGAGCAGGATATTGTTTTTTTCTTAAACAATAACCAACCCACAAAATCCATAAAAAAAGTCAAATTTAAATTCAAATCATCAATAATTTAAATTAATACATTTTATTTTTTAAAAACGTAAAATGTTTAAAAGTTAATCAACTGCTCTGCTGCTATACTAATTATGCTATGGGAGTGTCTATGTTACTTTCAGCAAACGAACGCTCTGCAAGTAAAATGAATGTGTGTATGGTAACGAGCACTCACACTCTGTGCACCTCTCTGGCGTTGAAAAAAAAACACAAGTTCAAAGGGAAACAAGAGTCATCGAAATGACTGCTGTTATGACTGGCACGGACTGATTATTTATTTCCTGCGTGCCCACATCGCCGGCGCCGGCGAAGAGTGTCGCCTTTCAAAGGGGTGAGAGCAATGAAGGTGTCACGTGCGCCACACTTCTTCTTTTCCCTTGATTACTCGCACACGTCACTGAATAATCCAGCCCCCTGTAATAATTTATGCTCCGGCAAGTGCCGAAATGCATCCTTTTTTTATTTCGTTTTAATCTTTTTACCACTCGCTCGCTTCTCTTCTTGTTTGTAAACACGTGCAGGGGAGAGAAAAAAAGCGGCTTGCGTGGTTTCTTCGGCTT